GAGAACAGGACAGCTGGGGAGGGACAGCTGGAGCCACACAGCCCCATCCCAGGGCTTTCAAGGACCACATCAGCACTTGCCCAGACTTGTCACCTCACCAGCCCCATCCCGTTGAAAACACCTGATGGGTTTCACACAGCTGATATTCCCACCCCGAGGGGGGAATAAAAACTCACAGCCCTCTCCTTGTGGATAAACACACCCTGCAAGTCACCAAAATCCCTGGGGGGTGGGGGGAGAATTGGATCATCTGTCCTGGGTGTCCCTTTCTGTTGTGGCTTGGTGCCACCACTGCAGGGTGGGGATGGCCTGAGGTGCCAGCCCTGGGCATGGTGGGCACAGGGCTGGTGCCAGAGGAGCAGGAGCCCCTTGTCCTTCCTGCCAGACCTCATGGCCGGGAGGGGCCGGGCAGGTCCCGCCGCTGGGAAGGAGCACAAGGAATCTTTGCCGAATATTTGAGGGGTGACACGCACGGGAGGTGCTGGAAAGGGACAAGGGATTCACATGGGGACCCAGCCTTGTCCACGCTGGGAGCAGGCCCTGCTGGGAGCACGGCCGGGATGAGGGATGGGGACATGGCTGGCACCCTGAGCCCGCCGTGTTTTTGCATCGAGGAGCTCCCCACACCCCAGCCCAGCGTGCTGCTCTTCCGCAGCGCCACAGATAAAAGGGAATTTTCCTTACCCTGCAGAGGGAGTTTTCCAGCGGGGACCCAGCCTTGTCCGCGCTGGGAGCAGTCCCCGATGGGAGCACGGCCGGGATGCGGGATGGGGACATGGGGACATGGCTGGCACCCGAGCCCGCGGTGTTTGCGTCGAGGAGCTCCCCACACCCCAGCCCAGCCTTTGCGTGCTGCTCTTCCCCAGCGCCACAGATAAAAGGGAATTTTCCTTACCCTGCAGAGGGAGTTTTCCAGGCGCCCTTCCCGGCTGCGTTCCAGGGCAATGTCCCCGACCTGTCCCCTCCTGCCCGCGGGGCTGTGGCTCCTGCAGTGCCCTGGGGTTGTGGTGTGGCTGTGATGTCCCGTGCACTCCGCAGTTCCAGATTTGCTGTATTTGCTGTATTAAACGTGTCTCTGCCCTTCACTGTCGGCTCCCTGCGTCCATCTCCCGGGGGCTTCCAGGAATGAGGGGAATGAGGCCGGACCGGCCCCGCGGGAGCGGCCCCGGGGCTCCGAGCAGGCCGACCTGTTGTGTGAGGGAGGATCGGGGAGGATCGTGTGCGAGAGGATTGTTGTGTGAGCTGTAGGATTGTTGTGTGAGGGGATTATTGTGTGAGAGGGCTGTCGTGTGAGGGAGGACTGAGTGTAAAATTGTTGTGCGAGAGGATTGTTGTGTGAGGGGATTGTGTGAGGGAGGATCAAGTGTGAGAGGATTGTTGTGTGAGGGGATTGTTGTGTGAGGGAAGCTTGAGTGTGAGATTGTTGTGCGAGAGGATTGTTGTGTGAGGGGATTATTGTGTGAGAGGATTGTTGTGTGAGGGAGGACTAAGTGTAAAATTGTTGTGCGAGAGGATTGTTGTGTGAGGGGATTATTGTGTGAGAAAATTGTTGTGTGAGGGGCTGGATTGTTGTGTGAGGGAGGATTGAGCGTGAGAGGATTGTTTTGTGAGGGGCTGGATTGTGTGAGGGGCTGGGTTGTGTGAGAGAGAGGATTGTTGTGTGAGTTGTGGGATGGTTGTGTGAGGGGCTGGATTTTTGCTTGTGTGAGGGAGAATTGAGTGTGAGAGAATTGTTTTGTGAGGGGCTGGGTTGTTGTGTGAGCTGCAGGATTGTTGTGTGAGGGACAGGATTGTGTGAGCTGTGGGATTGTGTGAGGGGCTGGGTTGTTGTGTGAGGGATACTCATCCCTCAGGTTGGAACAGAGAGAAAACCCTTTGAAGACCCAAGAAATTATTGCAGTCTTTAAGACTGGGAATTTTTTGGAAGATTATGAACGAGACATGGGCAGAGGGCCACTGGTTAAGGGAGAGGAGCATTCCCAGCCCTCCTGGCACAGGGAGGTGCAGTCAGAGCTCACAACTGACCTGGGAATGTCCCCAGGAATAAGCCTGGGGCAGATGTTCCTCCACATGTTCAAGTTCAGGGTGGATCCCCCAGTGGCAGCTCCCGAGGGGGTTTCAGGGCCAGCTTTGATCTCCACGGGGACACAGTGGACGCGGTGACCCCCAGAGTGGCCCTGGTGTGTCCCTGCCCTCCTGCTCCAGCCACCTCTGTCCAGCCAGCCCGGGGCAGGGGCTGTGTCCCTCCAGCAGCCTCATAGCATTCTGTAATTTTATTGCCCCAACAGGAGCTATTTTCACAGTAAATCCTTCCAAAATAGAAACCAGCAACACCCATGGGCGTGGAGCTAGCCCTGGGGCTGCAGGACCGGTTGGAGGACAGGGCTGGGGACAGGACAGGGCTGGGGGTGACAAACCCCTTTTGACACTGTGCCAGCAGTTCCAGAGACCCTTGGTGAGGGCTGGGACCCCCAAACCTGGCCGGGAGGGGGGTGCAGCCCTGCTCCAGCCCAGCCACCCTTCCCTTTTCCCATGATAAACACCCAGATAAAGTTTGTGCTCACAGCTCCTCCAGGTTGTCATCTCAGAGCCTCGAGGAGGATTTGATTCCCTTGGTCTTGGTCCCCTTTGTGGCACGTGCTCGACAGCATTCTGGAGCATGACTGGGAGGAAAAGCTGAAAAAAAGGGAATGGGATTGGCTGTGATCCTGGGAAAAAGGAGAGGCACAAGGAAACACCTCCCAGAGGGTGCTGAGCCCATCACTGAGCTCAGTCTGCTCTGCACCCCAGCTGCCCCATGAAATAACCCCTGAGCAGCTCTACAGGTTTTCCCCTCACCGACAGCACCTTAATCCCCCTCAGGAGCACAGAAACTCCCAAACCAGGGGCTTTAACTCCTTCTGGGTTCATTTTCGGTTCAGCTGAACCCAGAGCTCAGTGACCCTTTATGAGAAGTAGGAAACAGCCCCAAAGCAAAAGCAGGGAGAAGGAAAGGAGCCAGACAAAACAGAGTTGAGAAACTGCCCCGTCACACCCCGTGTGCGGAGCAACATCCCCACCCCGCACAGATAAAGTGCCGAGGCTGCCCAGCCCCTGCCCCAGCCCCAGCAGCACCTTCCCGGCCGAATCCTCCCATCCCGGAGCCAAATCCCCCTGGACAAGGGGCAGGAGAACGGCTCGGCACAGCCCCGGTAGGATTTGGGGGAGGAAAAAGGAGATTGAGGGGGGAAAATTCCTTGCGTTGAGTTCAAACGGCGATAACGGGTTGCTGTGGGCAGCCCCGGGGGAATTTCAGGAGCAGGGATTGATTTTCTATCAGGGGATCACCCTGAGGGGTGTAGAGGGGTGGGGAACACCTGCTGGGTCCTCCCACTGCCTTACACTGGATTTCTCCCAGTCTGTGCTGGTGAGGAGCTGGGGGATGGAGGGGGACCCTGTCCCTGTAGGACAGTTGTGAGGTTTCTTTTAATAACGGGTGGGGAAACTCCTGTTTTCTGTTATAAAGGATTTAAAATCTCACCTGTGGTTGCTGGGGGTGTATGTAGCATCACAGAGACGGGGTGGGCACAGCGAGACCCCTGACCCCAGAGCTCCAGCCCCAGTGCTGGGTGACAGAATCAGCCCCAGGACCTCCAGTGCTGTCCCCAGGCTCTGACCCCGAGTGTGGAACAGCTCCAGCCCCAGTGCTGGGTGACAGAATCAGCTCCAGGACCTCCAAGTGTGGGACACGGCTCTCCGGACCGGCTCCAAGGACAGACCCCCGGCACCAGCACCATGGCGTGGGCAGCCCCAGCCCTGGCAGCTGCCACCCTCTGCCTCCGTGAGTGACATCCTGTCCCCAAAAACTGCCCCGGGACCCCCAGGCACCAGGGATGCTCCGGCTGTGCTGCTCCTCATCCCAATCCCGCTCGGTTCAGCACTCCCAGGGCTCTGTCTCCTGCTCCCCTCAGCATCCACAGGCCTTTCCCAGGGATACATCTTCCCAGATTTCCAGGGATGGATTTATCCCTTTTTGTCTTCCACACCCTCCTGCAGGGAGCCGGGGGTGCTCGGGCTGGGGGCTGCTCCCTTCACAGTGATCCGCAGCATTTCCTAAACATGAAGTTAGCAAAGGAAAGGCTCTTCCCAGACTCTAAACCTGGAGCTGCTTGGAGCAACCCCGATGAGCCGTTCCTAATCCCGGGATGTTTCCTAACCTTCCTTGCAGGTTTCTCTGCAGACCCAGTGAAAGCAACAGCGGTGAGTCCCTGCCGGCTCTGCTGGCTCCCACCGTGCCAGGGCTTTCCCAAAATTCCCCAGCTGGCTCTGGAGGTGCCACCATTCCCGCAGTGCTCAGCTCCACCTGCCCGCTGTCCCCTGTGCAGAGCGTGGCCCTGTCCTTGTCCCGTCCCTCACCTCCCTGCCCTGCTCCCAAACCCAGCTCCAGGCGAGCAGGGACAGACCCACCCGAGTGTCCCCGCTGCTGAGGGCGGCTTTGATGGCTTTCGTCCCCACAAGTAACCCAGGGGCTGCTGCAGCTCCTGGCTGTTCCCACGGGCAGCAGTCTGGGCGCTCCAGCCAGGTCAGATCCCATTCCCTGCATCTCATTCTTCCCTTTCCTTACCGGGACTGAGCCTCCCCCATCCTCTCCCCAGGCTGCCCTGATTTTTGGAGCCGTCCTGTCCAACGCTGAGCATCCCCAGTAAGTACCAGCCCTGTCGGGGGCTCTGGGGGTCCGGCGGGGTGAATTTGCATTATCTGCTGCTGTGCCGGGTGACTGGGGCAGGGAGGATTTACAGCCCTGTGCAGCCGGTTCCGTGCTGGGATTCCGGCGGGCTGGGTTCCTGCAGAAACACAAACACACCGAGAATTCTCCTTCCTCCACGCGGCTGCAGCGGAGCCTCGCCCCGGCTGAGCCCGGGCGCTGCTGCTTTGTCCCACACCCAAACCCCGGGACATGGGGGCACCCACCCGGCCGTGGGGATGGCAGCACCCTGGCACTGATTTTAGGGGACATTTTCATGACATCCCACGTGTACAGCCTCGGGGAGCTGGTGTGTGACCTAGAGCCGGGCACCATCCCGGCCTCGGATCCCAAAATCCTGGAGAAGCTGAAGCTCTGCCCGGCGCTGACGGGGGCACAGCAGGACGCCCTCAATGCCCTGCTCCTGTCGGGGGGCACAGCGTACGGGTGAGGAGCCTTCCTTGCAGGGGTGGGCGGGCAGGAGGGGTGGGAATCCACGGGGATGCTGATCTGGTCCTGCTCCTGCTGCCGCAGGGATCCCTCAAGCTGGGATTTGCGGACTCTGCAAGATTTGGGGCCGCTCGTGCTGGCGTTGAACCAGACCACGCTGAGTTTGGTGGCCGAGGTAAGAACCCCTCCTCGGGGGGAGATGACCATCAGGCAGGTCAGCTCCGAGGCTGGGGGACCCAGCATCCTGTGCTCTCCGGACCTAGAACCCTCTGTCCCTGTGTCCCCTGTCCCAGCACCCTGTGTCCCTGTCTTCGTGCCCCCCGGTCCCAGCACTCTCTGTCCCTGTGCCCCCGGTCCCAGCACTCTCTGTCCCTGTGCCCCCCGGTTCCAGCACCCTCTGTCCCTGTCCCCGGTCCCAGCACTCTCTGTCCCCGCAGGCAGCACGGGAGGATTTCAGGAGGAGCATCGCTGCCGCCTACATCAACCAGGGACGTTCCCAGCGGGAGAAATCCCTGATCCTCCTCAGGGCGCTCGCAGCAGCATCAGCTGCCTCCCAGCCCCGGCTGAAGCGCAGCGCGGACCGTGAGTGTTTCCCTTCCCTCCGGAGCTCTGCGAGGGGACAATGCCCGGGGCTGGCAGGATCTGGGAGCTCCTGGCTGGACCGGGCAGAAATCTGAGGTTCCCACAAATTGGGGAAGTGGGGAAATGTCCTTGAAGCACGGGGTGGGGGTTGCTCTTACCTGGGAGCAGGGATGTGGTGGCAGCACTCAGGAAGGAGCTGGGACAGTGGGACAGTCCCCAGGCAGGGCCAGCGCCAGGGCAGGACGCTGCAAGAGCAGAGGATGCTCATGTAGGGGACATGGATCAGTTTGAGCTGCCTTTAACAGGACAAAGCACAAGTGGGCTGCAAAACATCCCCAGGTTCTTCTGGAATGAATTTAGGGAATGACAGCAAATGAGGCACCTCCGTGGACTGGGGACCAGGGGATGGGAGCAGGATCCACCGTGGCTTGAGCCACGTTTTTGTGATTCCCTGTCCTTCACCTTGGCTTTGAGCCCGTGGCAGGAGCAGGGCCAGGTGGGAAGGGCACACGCACAACACACACCTCTGCCTGACACAATTCCTTGCCCTCAGGCTGCCAGTCCAAGCCCATCACTGCCAGCAACATCAGTGACATCTTCTTGTACCTCTCCCCTGACATGCTTGACCAGCTCGACCTGTGCCTGAGCAATGATGTGCTAATACAAAACCTGGAGGCTGTGCTGGCTCAGCCAATCACCTCAAAACCTTTGAGGGTCCTGAAAAAAAAGGTGGATGAGGTAAGGGGTGGCACAGGACAGGAGCCCCCCAGCAGCAGGGAGCAGGGCTCAGTGGGCACAGGGATGAAGGTGTCCGAGTGGGTCCTTTGCACTCATTCCTGCCCTGTTTTCCCTTCCCTCACCCTCTGTCCTCCCCCTGGGCCGGCCCCCACAGTATTTCCAGGGGTCAGGGATCCCAGAGGAGCAGCTGAGGCGCCTGGGGGTGCTGTCCCGCCTGTACACGGAGCAGGAGATCAGCCAGTGGCCGGTGACATCCAGTGACACCCTCTCAGCCCTGCTCAATGGCTCGGGAGGAGCGTGGGATGATTCCCAGGTAAATCCATGGCAGCAGAAAGGTGGGGAAGCCAAACTGGGATTGCCTCTGTCCCAGCCCAGCTCAGGGTGGAGGCGTTGTGGGGTTTTTTGGGGGTTGGCAGCACTGCCATCCTTACCAGGAGTGTCTCCCATTTCTGCCCATGTCCCTCAGGTGCAGCAGCTGCTCAGCAGGTACCTGGCCCTGGGGGGCTCCTTGACGGGGCCCCTGCTCCAGGAAATCACAGGCAGGCGCCTGTGCAACCTGCAGGAGGGGCAGATCCAGCAGATCTCTGCTGCAGCCATCGGGTGAGCGGCTTCTTGGGATGCTGCTCAGCCCTGGGAGGCCCCAGGGCTCTGGGGAGCTGGGGTGGAAGAGCCCCAGCTCTGTTGTGGATGTCCCCATTCCCAACCAGCACAGTGGGATGGCTGTGTCCCAATCCCAGATCTCACCTGAGCTCCAGGACCATGAGCAGGGACATCCCCCCCATCCCTCCCAGCCACCAGAACAATTTATCTGCAGTTTGGGGTGCTGCTGATGCCTTGAGAGGCTGCCTGGAGCAGAGCTGGGCAGAGTTAAGGAATAAAGATGGGATTTATTAAAAGTCCTCAAGGGATACACCTTGGGCAGAATTAAAGGAATAAAGCAGGGATTTATTAAAAGTCCTCAAGGGATACACCTTGGGCAGTACAAGAACCTGGCTGTGGCTGCACCCAAGATGGACAATGGGTCAGGAGTTCTCACACTTTTATCAGTTTTGGTCCATTTCCATACTGGGGTTCATTGTCCAATTCCAGCTCAGGTGATGCAGTCCCATCCTCCCAGACTGCTCTCCTCCATTCCCAGTTTGCACTTTTGGGGCTGAAGCTGCAGTGGTGTCCTTGGTTCTGGGGCTGGCAAAGGATTGCTCTGTGTGGCTGAGCTGTGAGGAGAGCTGCTGGCACTTTGTGTGAAGTTCAGAGTTCTGTACCAATGCAGTCCAGAATCTAGAAAATAACTCAAACTGAAGGATCAGGGCTGACCTGTGCCCCCCTTCCAGGACTGCTGGGCGGTTGGACATCTCTTCATGCTCCCAGTCCAAGAAGAAGCAGCTCTATGGGAAGGCCCGGGAGGCCTTTGCCAGCCTGGCCAGCACCCCTGGCCCCTATTACTGCCAGATCCAGCCATACCTGGGTAGGTGCTTCCTCTCCACCCTCCTTCCCACCACCAGGTTTGGGGTCTCTTCTCAGGCACAGACAGGTCTGGCTGTGAACCAGAACCTCCCCAAATCCTCCCCAGAAGTGCTGGAAGGGTTTGCACATCTCCAGGTGTCCCCTGGGCTCTCTTTAAGGTGGAGCTCCAGCAGAAGATCTGAAGAATTTGGCTAATGCTGGTGTGGCCATAAACATGGATCTGGACACCTTCCTCTCCCTAATTCCTGAGGAACTGCAGGTACAGCCCTGGGTGCTGCTGTCCCTCTCCCAGGGCAGGGCAGGGCTGAGCAGGGGGGCTGAGGTCAGAGCCCAGCCAAATCACCATTTCTGCACTTTCTCACCTTTATAAATTTCCTTTAGGAAGTTTCAGCTGCTCTGCAGCCCCGTTAGCAAAGCCTTTGGGGCTGTGAGGGTGAGGGAAGGGGATGATCTCTGTGTGTTGCAGAAACTCAGCGTCACTGACGTGAAACATTTGCTGGGGAAAAACCTCCCTGAGCTGAAGGAGCACGAGCAGGAGCCCTCGGTGGTGAGCTGGGTGCAGCTGCAATCCCAGCGCGAGCTGGACTGCGTGCTGGGCATCGGCCTGCAGGGGGGGCGGCCCGAGCCCGCGGGGACAGCCAGCCCTGCTGCCACCTCCCCGGCCACTGCCAGCACCCCTGCGCCCACCACTGCAGCCAGTGTCACCTCCCCGGGCACTGCCAGCACCCCTGCGCCCACCACTGCAGCCAGTGTCACCTCCCCGGCCACTGCCAGCACCCCTGTGCCCACCACCCTGGCCAGTGTCACCTCCCCAGCCACTGCCAGCACCCCTGCGCCCACCACTGCAGCCAGTGTCACCTCCCTGGCCACTGCCAGCACCCCTGTGCCCACCACCCCGGACAGTGTCACCACCCCTGCGCCCACCACTACAGCCAGTGTCACCTCCATGGCCACTGCCAGCACCCCTGTGCCCACCACCCTGGCCAGTGTCACCAGCCCTGTGGCCACCACTGCAGCCAGTGTCACCTCCCCGGCCACTGCCACCACGTCTGTGCCCACCACCCCGGCCAGTGTCACCACACCTGCACCCACCACCCCGGCCACTGCCAGCACCCCTGTGCCCACCATCCTGGCCAGTGTCACCTCGATGGCCACTGCCACCACCCCTACTGCCCCCACCACCCTGGACAGTGTCACCTCCATGGGCACTGTCCCCACCTCTCCTCACCCTGCCAGTTCAGCCAATGTCACCCCTGTGTCCACCACTGTCCCCGGCACCTCGGCCAGTGCCACCACCATCCCCAATGTCCCCAGCACCTCGGCCAGTGCCACCACCCTCCCCAATGTCCCCAGCACCTTGGCCAGTGCCACCACCGTCCCCAATGTCCCCAGCACCCCCCACTGCCACCTCCACTGCCCGTCCCTCTGTGACCAGTGCAGTGCCCTGCTCCACCCACCAGGCCCCCAGCACAGACAGAGCCACGTCCCCTGCTGTCACCCTCCTCAGCACCCTCCTGGCCACCAGCAGCCCCAGTGCCACCCCAGTCCCTGCTGTCACCTCCAGGGCCACCACCAGCACTGGTGTTGGCACTAACCCAGCTGGTACCACCCACAGCACTGTCACCACTGTCCCCACTACCTCGGCCAGTGCCACCACCCTCCCCAATGTCCCCAGCACCTCAGCCAGTGCCACCACCGTCCCCACTGTCCCCAGCACCTTGGCCAGTGCCACCACCCTCCCCAATGTCCCCAGCACCTCGGTCAGTGCCACCACCCTCCCCAATGTCCCCAGCACCTCAGCCAGTGTCACCTCCATGACCACTGTCCCCAGCCCTCCTCACCCCTCGGCCAGTGTCACTGTCCCCACCACCACTGCCATTAGCAGCCACTCGCCAGTGCCACCACTGTCCCCACTGTCCCCAGCAGCTCAGTCAGTGCCACCACCGTCCCCAGCACCTCGGCCAGTGCCACCACTGTCCCCACTGTCCCCAGCAGCTCAGCCAGTGCCATCACCGTCCCCACTGTCCCCAGCACCTCAGCCAGTGTCACCTCCATGACCACTGTCCCCAGCCCTCCTCACCCCTCGGCCAGTGTCACTGTCCCCACCACCACTGCCATTAGCAGCCACTCGACCCCTCAGCCGAGCACGGTCCCCCCCAGGACCCCAACCCCCCCAGGCACCCCCCAACACACTTCCCCAATCCCACCTCTTCTCCCACTGCCACCCCTGTCCCCAACCCCTCTTCTGCTCCCACTGCCACCCACAGCACTGTCACCACTGTCCCCAATCCCACCTCTTCTCTCACTGCCACCCACAGCACTGTCACCTCTGTCCCCAATCCCACCTCTTCTCCCACTCCCAAACCCTCCTGTGCTCACACTGCCACCACTGTCCCTCACTCCTCCTCTGCTCCCACTGCCACCCACAGCACCGTCACCTCTGTCCCCAACCCCACCTCTTCTCCCACTGCCACCCCCATCTCCAATCCCACCTCTTCTCCCACTGTCACCTCTGTCCCCAACCCCTCTTCTGCTCCCACTGCCACCCACAGCACTGTCACCCCCGTCCCCAATCCACCTCTGTCCCCAATCCCACCTCTTCTCCCACTCCCAAACCCTCCTGTGCTCACACTGCCACCACTGTCCCTCACTCCTCCTCTGCTCCCACTGCCACCCACAGCACCATCACCTCTGTCCCCAATCCTACATCTTCTCCCACTTCCAATCCCACCTCTGCTCCCACTGCCACCCACAGCACTGTCACCCCTGTCCCCAATCCTACATCTTCTCCCACTGCCACCCCCATCTCCAATGCCACCTCTGCCCCCAGTGCCACCCCTGTCCCTCCGTCCCCCTCTGCCCCCAGTGCCACCCCAGTTCCCCCCCAGCCAAGCCTGGGCTCCTCCACGGCCGCGCCGTGCCCGCCCAGCTCCCGTGCCAGCCCCAGACCCACAGCCGGGAGTGTCCCAGAGCCAGCCCAGACAGCCTCCAACGGCTACATCAACCTGCGGCCCCCGCCTGGTGAGCTGGGAACGGGGGAAGCCCTGGGAATGCTGGGGCCAGGGCAAAGCTGGCTGATGCCCCCCGCTCCTGGTGGGATGCAGCACTGGGGGACAGGTGGGGACGTGGCCCTGGGGCTGCCCTCAGGTTCTCAGGTCACTTCAAGGTGTCACTTCAAGGTGTCCCATCACCTCCCGAGCCCCCAGCCCTCCCCGGCAGCTGGAGAATCCCATTCCTGTGTTGTCCCTGCAGGATCAGGATCCAGGCTCTGCTCCTGCCTCGCTCTCCTGCTGGCAGCCACCGTGGGGAAGGTTCTGCTGCTCTGAGCCCCCCTCAGCACCCCCACCCTGCACACCCCTCCCTCCTCCCACTGGAACTGCGCTGGGCAAGGCCCTGCTGGGCAGCAGGACCCCAGGAAAGGGAGGAGAATTCATCCACGTTTGACTCCAGCACAGGATGTGGTTATTTTTGAAGCTGGCCTGTGAAGAACAGACTTTTCCAGCCCAGAGGAGCCCCACAGGTCCTTACTAGAGATTTACTCCCTGTAGTACAACCAGCAGTGCTGCTGACTGCTCTGCCAAGGCAAGAACACCGGGCCCAGATCCTGCAGGGATTTCCTGTCCATCCCATCCCCCTGGGATCTGTTAAACAGTGGGAAAACTCAGGGATTTGAGTCACTGGTGGCCCAGCACTGCAGCTGAGAGATCCCCAAAAATCCTATTTAACTTCCTTCACGAGCTGCTTTTTGATCAAGGTCTGCTCAAACCACACACAGACTCTCATGGGATGATTAGCTGGAGATAATTTATCTTGATTACTGTTCAGTGCTATATAATAAAACATCAGTCTGGTTTTTCCTAATCCAATGTGTCCTTTGAGTGCTTTGTGGGGAAGCTTTTCCAGCACAAATCCAAACTCTGCGGTGAAGGACAGACCTGCTCCCTCTCTAGAAAGCTCAGCCAGTGAAGATTTATAAGACATAAAATATATAAATCCCTTTTTCCCTCCCAGATTCTCCCCCTGGAGGAAGGGGAATGTCAGGAGCTGGATACAGGTTTCACTGATGGTTTTTTTCCACAGATATTTCCAATGAGTGGGGAAAAAATATGGAAAACTTTGTACAAAGTTCCTTTCCTCCAACATGAGGAAGCTGAGAACAGTCTCAGCTCCTAAATGTTGAAGAGCCAACCCCAAGGAGCAGGAACAGGCAGATCTTGGGATTCTGAGCCTTCATTTGGGGGATTCCTGCAGACAGGAAGGTGAGGGCAGCCTCAAGGAAGAGCAGACACTCATCAGTTTGCTTCTGGCATTTTTACTCAGTCCCAGGATTTATTTACAAGCAGCTGGCAAACTTCAGTCCCACCCTGAGGTCTTGGCAGTGTCACGAGGTCAGGCTCTGGGAAATGGCATTTTTAACCTGCAGGACTCACCCTTAAACCCAGCAGTAAGATGGGGTTCAGCAGTGGTTTGGGGCTGAGCTGGGCTTGGGCTGTCCCAAAGGCAAAGATCCTCCACCAAAGAGTCTGAATCTTCCCTTCAGACAAAAATATTTTTTTTTTTCCAAGTGATTTGAAAGCCAAAAGTACCTAAAGGTGAGTTCGGGGCTGATCCCAGCTGCCTGCAGCTCTGGGCACTCCTCAGGCCAGGTCTCAGAGCAGGTCACAGGCTGGTCCCTCTTGGTTCCTCGTGGCAGGAGAAGGTCAGGAGAGGATGGACACCGTGGAGAAGCTGAGGAGCAGGGCAGGCAGGAGGTGGAGCACCCTGGCCACGCTGCCCAGAGGGGCTGAGGACATTGCTGCAGGACAAAGAGAGCATCAGAGCACAGAAATCAGTGACTGAGCTGTGGGAAGTGGATTTGTAGAGATAAGATGTGTTTGAGATAAGAAATGCTGACTTAGAAATGCCATGGAATGAGACAGGAATTGATGAGAGAGAGAAATGGAACTAGAAACAAGTTTCAAAGGATGGCCTTGCCAATAAGACTGGATACTTTGGAGAAACAGAACTGTGAAAGATGAATTGTAGTAGGACCCACGAGGGGTCATTTTAGATTATTAACTTTAAGGCATTTCCAGCATGGTGTAGGAAAAGCTGATTAGCTGGAATCAGAAATACTTCTGATATAATTAAGAAATCAGAAATGCTTCTGATATAATTAAGAAATAGTTGGCTTCTGATTGTGCTGGTGTGAGTTATAACATCTCTATTGTCCCACCCTTCACATGAGACTGAAAATGGAATAAAAGTTTTTAAAAGAGCTCTCAGTTACCCTGTCTTTAAGTAAGAAAACAATCTGACAACTGAACCACTCCTCCATGGGGAAAACATCTCCCTGTGCCCCCTGCAGGGATCCTCTTCTCCTGTCTGACCTCGGCAAACACCAAGCTGAGTTTGGGTTGGAACTGAAGGATCCTCAAATTTCCTTCAACCCCAACCACGGTGATCCTGCCTCGAAGCCCAAACCCAGCACCCCCGAGGAGGAAGGCCTGGAAGTGGTCAGAATGAACCCCAAAATCACCCCAAAAGTGGATAAAAATAACCCAAAATTCACCGCAAATAAACCCCCAAATTAACCCAAAAATGGCCAAAACTCACCCAAAATTCACCCAAAATTTAACCCAAAAATGGGCAAAATTAACCCAAAAATGGGCAAAATTAACCCAAAAATAACCCAAACTTCCCCCAAAACCAGGCAAAATCAACCCAAAAGTTCACCCAAAATGAACACAAAAATGGAAAAAAATCAACCTCAAATTACCCCAAAAATGGGCAAAATTAACCCAAAAATAACCCAAACATCCCCCAAAGACCAGGCAAAATAAACCCAAAAGTTCACCCAAAATAAACCCAAAAAGGAAAAGCTGATTAGCTGGAATCAGAAATACTTCTGATATAATTAAGAAATCAGAAATGCTTCTGATATAATTAAGAAATAGTTGGCTTCTGATTGTGCTGGTGTGAGTTATAACATCTCTATTGTCCCACCCTTCACATGAGACTGAAATGAAAAATGGGGAAAATCAACTCAAAATTCACCCAAAATCAACCCGAAAACCAGGAAACTCAACCCAAAACTCGCTCAGAATCACCCCAGAATCAGCCCCAAACGAACCCATCGAAGCCCGGCCCCCGGCCCCGAAGTACCCGGGAATCTGGGGGTGGCGAGGTTGATGTAGCCCTCCTGCACGCCGCCCGTGAGCCCCGCGTGATTTATATAAAATATAAAATAAGACACATAAATATATAAATAGATATTTACATTTAAATACATTTAAATTTATATATTTAAATATATATTTATATATATATAATATTTATGGCATGTCCCCTGCCACTGTGATAGCCTGCCCTGAAAGAACTCTACTGCTTGCATCCATCCAGGACTCCAAGGTCTATTTTTCAAGGAATTTCAGGCCCTTTCCCACTTTCTAGTGGTCTAACAGAAGACATTTTGGATTTGATGGAATTTAGATTTGACGGAATTCAGATGTGATGGAATTTGGATTTGACGGAATTCAGATGTGATGGAATTTGGATTTGACGGAATTCGGATGTGCTGGAATTCGGATTTGACGGAATTCGGATTTGCTGATTCCCCCAATGGACAACACGACAAAGCCAAGCACGGAACCCCAGGAAATGCAGGAATGAAGGGGCTCCAGGCCAGCTCACCATCAGCGAGTCCCTCCTCAGAGTCACAAAGGTGCTCACGTTCATGTTGACGTCGGCCTTGCTGAGAGCCTTCAGGTCTGCGGCTGGAGCCCCCCCTGCACCAAAGCAGGAGAACACCAAGGATGGCAGAGCCCAGAGGAGCCTGCCCCAAATGGGGATTCTCCAAATGGGGATTCTCCAAAACCCATCAGCCTGGGGCTGGGAACACGGCTGCAGAACAGGGGGTGCTCCTCCTTTTTTTATTAGGAGTTATTTCGTTGGGCATTGAAAATGTGTGGCCAGCAAGTGGAAAGAAGGGTGAGAAGAAGTTGGAAAAAATCTTGGCTTAAAGGGGAAAAAAAACCCCACCTGTTTTTTATTGGGAGTTATTTTGCTGGGCATTAAAAATGTGTGGCCAGAAAGTGGAAAGAAGGGTGAGGAGAAGTTGGGAAAAATCTTGGCTTAAAGGGAAAAAAAAACAACCTTGGCTTAGGGAAAAAAAAAAATCTGACATGGAAAAGGGCTTTGAGATTAATCCTGAGTTTGATTTTCCTTGTCTGGAAACAGATTTGGGCAATTAAAGCAGGCACAGAATTTTTTGTGCCGTCTCAAAGCTGGAAAGACAAACTTTTAACAGCTTGACTTTGAAAATTTCCAAATCTTTGATGGATTTTGATACTCATTTAGTTTGTGGCTAAGAGTTCTCTTTCCCCACAACATCCTGGATCTCTACATACCCAGGTAAGGTAAAATCAGCTCATAGTAAGCAGGTAAATGGTGCTGCTCAGAGAAAGCTTCCTTGGCTTTCTGGTACAAGAGGTTCTTCGTCTCCTGGGAACAGGCTGAGGGATCCAGAGACACCAGTCTGCAGAAAAATAAAGATTTAGGGTGAAAAAAGCTATTGTTATCTTCAACCTGTTCAATTTTTGCATATTCTGAGTGTTTTCTGGGATTCTCTGCACAGCACAGGCGATTCCCAATTCCAGCTCTATGGAGAGAAGCTGAGAGGAAAAACCACGGCCCAGTTTCCTGCTGAGAATTTGTCCTTCAGGTGATGATGGCTCTGATGGTGCCCAATAAATCTGTGTGTTTGCCAAGTGGTACTTAATTAATTTCATTTAATTTCATTCAGTCTTTCAGAGGAATTCAAACTGGAAATGCTTAAAAATCACAAGGATGTGGCACTTGAGGACATGGTTTAGTGGCGAGCTTGGTGACGACCTGAGAAGCCTTTTCCAACCTTAAGGACTCAGTAATTCCATGAAATTCAATTTAATTAACCCTTCTGCAGATGAAAGCAGGCACAGAGTCAGATTTGCAGCCCGCTGGGCTGAATGAAACAGAGTTGGGTTGGGAATCTGAGCCGTGCCTGGCAGCTCCTGAGGTGCTCCCTAAATTCCCATTCCCTGGGAGCAGAAAAAAGGAAAAGGGTGGGGAAGGGCTTTTGGAAGAAGCCGAGGACAGCCCAGGCTGGGACTCACCGGAGGCTGGCGGGGTCGATGGCCTCCAGCTCGGTGGCATTGAGCAGGCACACGTACCTGGTGCCAACGGCATCCAGGGCCGTGGCGTTCAGGGCATTGCCCAGCTCCAGGTAGCGCTTAATTGCTGCTGAGGCCTGCAAGCACAGTTAATGACGTGAATTTAATGGTGTCAGAAGGTGTGGATTCATCCCCGAAATAAACTATTTTTTATATTTTATTTTATGTAGTATTTTATCATTACAAAAATAAAATGGAAGCATTTCAGGTCTGTTCGTGCTGCTGTGAATATTTAATGGCGTTTAATTGCTGCTGAGGCCTGCAAGCACAATTAATTACGTGTATTTAATGGTGTCAGAAGGTGGGGTTGCATCCCCTAAAGAAACTCTTTTTATATTTTATTTTATATAGTGTTTTATCATTACAAAAATAAAATGGAAGCATTTCAGGTCTGTTCGTGCTGCTGTGAATTTTGTGTTAGAGATAGAAATGAGATATTTGGTTTTTTGTGTAGAATAGTTATGTTTTCATTGTACACCATTTTCATATTATTTTATTATTTTTAATTTTAATTTTGTTCATTATTATTTATTTTTATTAATTTTAAAAATTATTTTTAAATTATTTTTATTGTACACCATTTTTATATCATATTAGAAGATATTGTGTTTGAATTTAATTGGTTAGTAATCTAGTGAAACTTAGTTCATTGGTTAGTAAGGGTTATTGTTTATTAAAGAATACATGTTACATATTTGTATATATAAAATATTTCTATATATGTTATATATTTGTATATATAACATATATTTCTATATTTGTTATATATTTCTATATTTGTTATATATTTCTATATTTGTTATATATTTCTATATTTGTTATATATTTCTATATTTGTTATATATTTCTATATTTGTTATATATTTCTATATTTGTTATATATTTCTATATTTGTTATATATTTCTCTATATAACATATATAGATATATAACATATATATAGATATATATGTCCATATATGTTCTATATTTCTGTATATAACATATATTTCTATACATAACAAACATGTATTTCTATAGATGTTATATGTTTATTAAACATTTTATAGATATGTTTATATATTTTAAACTGAATTTTATGGGATAGACTTCTTGTTTTTATAGGTGTGAACAGCTTTTTTACAAGAACAGATTGTTGTGCTGACTGATTTTTATTCATATTTTTTTTTTTTGAAATGGGAATTTAATAGGTTAGTTTAGAACACAAAGCCTGATTTTATAAGACCTTTTTTTTTTTATAAAGTTTCCGTTCATTGGGCCACAAAGCTTGATTTTATAACACCTTTTTTTTATAAAATTTCCATTCATTGGGCCACCCAAAGTTGTGGCACCAAGGATGCTCCGACCCCCTGAGAAGCCAGAGCCAGGAGAGCAGAGCCCAGCCCGTACCAGGGGATCCGAGGGCTGAGGATCAGTTTTCAGGAACGCTGCCAGCGCGTCAGCAGAGCTCAGCTTCCAGGTGGAGATCTCCTCCGGGCTGAGCAGGCCCAGGAGAGGGCCCATCCCAGCCAGGACATGCTGGGGATAACCGTGGGGATACCTCTGTGGAGACACCAGGGCACGGGCTGAGCTCAGCCTGGCAGAGGGACGTGATGTTAGTGCTGTTTTCAGCTCTGTGATCAGGATTGGAGGGAGGACGGAGCCACGTTCCTCTCAGAGGTGTCCTGTGAAAGGCTGAGGGCCAACCCGGCAGGAAAACCCTCATTAGATATAGAAATGAGAGATGAGAAATAAATATTTTCCCAGTAAAGGTGGTTGAACCATGGGAGAGGAGCTGAGAGACAGTGGAGTCACATCCTTGGAGATCCTAAATCCACCAGGACAAGGCCCTGAGAGATTCCATCAGTGGAAATTTGAGTCACATCCTTGGAGACCCTAAATTCCCCATGACAAGACCCTGAACAATCCCATCAGTAGAAATTTGAGTCACATCCTTGGAGATCCTAAATCCACCAGGACAAGACCCTGAACAATCCCATCAGTGGAAATTTGAGTCACGTCCTTGGAGATCCTGAATTCCCCAGGAAAAGGCTCTGAAAGGTCCCATCAGTGGAAATTTGAGTCACATCCTTGGAGATCCTAAATTCCCCATGACAAGGCCCTGAGAGATTCCATCAGTGGTAATTTGAGTCATACCTTTGGAGATCCTAAACCCACCAGGACAGGGCCCTAAGTGATTCCATCAGTGGAAATTTGAGACATACCCCTGGAGATCCTAAATCCAGAAGGACAAGGCCCTGAGTGATTCCATCAGCGGAAATTTAGACATACCCCTGGAGATCCTAAATTCCCCATGACAAGGCCCTGAGAGATCCCATCAGTGGAAATTTGAATCACATCCTTGGAGATCCTAAATTCCCCAGGACAAGGCCCTGAACAATCCCATCAGTGGAAATTTAAATCACACTCTTGGAGATCCTAAATCCACCAGGACAAGGCCCTGAACAATCCCATCAGTGGAAATTGGGTATTTTGGGCTGGAATTACCTCGTGCAGGTACTCCTTCAGCACAGCCAGCTGGGGGATGCTGAAGGGGTAGGTGAGGACCTGGGAGAGGTGATTTTCCAGGAAGAGGTGATTTTCCTGGGAGATGTTCTGCAGGCAGGCACGCAGGAGCTCCGGTGGGATGTAAAAGGTAGGCATCAGGTCATCATTCAGAACTTCCTCTGTTATCTCCAGGTCAGCTGGGCAACCTGCTGAAGCTACGGCAAACTCAGGGTTAGATCAAATCCTTTGGCACCAGGCTTTGGATTCCAGAATCATTTTGCTTGGAAAGACCTCCAAGGTTCTGTGCCCGATCCCCACTTGGTCACCAGCACTGAGGTCCTTGGGCACCTCCAGGGATGGGGACTCCAAACCTCCCTGGGAGCCTCTCCCAAGGCCTCAGGAGCTCCAGGGAGACCCCTGGGCCCAGAGGAGGGTCAGAGTGACTCCTGCTCCCCAGTGGGAATGTCAGGGTGACCCCTGGTCCCAGAGGAGCTCCAGGGTGATCCCTGGTCCCAGAGGGAATGTCAGGGCAACCCCTGCTCCAGGAGGGAGCGTCAGGGTGACTCCTGCTCCCAGTGGGAATGTCGGGGTGACCCCTGGGCCCAGGGGGAGCTCAGGGTGACCTCTGCTCCCAGTGGGAATGTCAGGGTGACCCCTGGTCCCAGAGGGAATGTCATGGTTACTCTTGGGCCCAGAGGGAGGGTCAGGGTGAACTCTGCTCCCAGTGGGAATGTCAGGGTGACCTCTGCTCCCCAATGGGAATGTCAGGGCAACCCCTGGGCCCAGGAGGAATGTCATGGTCACCCCTGGTCCCTGAGGGAGCTCCAGGGTGACCTCTGCTCCCAGAGGGAATGTCAGGGTGACCCCTGGGCCCAGAGGGAATCTCAGGGTGACCTCTGCTCTCAGTAGGAGCTCCAGGGTGACCCCTGGGCCCAGGGGCAATGTCATGGTCACCGTTGGTCCCAGGGGGAATGTCATGGTCACCCCTGGGCCCAGAGGAGGGTCAGGGTGATCCCTGGTCCCAATGGGAATGTCAGGGTGACCCCTGGTCCCTGAGGGAGCTCAGGGTGACCTCTGCTCCCAGAGGGAGCTCCAGGGTGGCCCCTGAGCCCAGGAGGAACACTCTGGCTCAGGACAGCTCCCGTACCTTCCGCTCGCTTGTGCCGCCGGGGCAGGAGCTCCCCGACGATGGTGGCCAGCTCCTCCCTGGACAGGGGGGAATCCCAGGCAAAGTTCCTCAGCCAGGTGGTCAAAGCTTTCTGCGAGGAAAAGGGATCATCAGGGGGATTTGGGAATGCTGGGTGTGCCTCCAGCACAGCCCCTGCTCCTCACACAGCGGGCTCTGAGCATGGAGATCCTGAACCAAAAGCAATTCCTTAAATGTTTGAACTCTCCCTTTGCCCAGCCCATCAGAGACTGGAGCTCCTCACAAAGCACTGGGAGAGTTATTCCTTCTCCCCAAGTGACAGGAAGGGACTGGCAGTGACCTGGATTTGCAGTTGCAGCCTGTCAGCAGTGATGCCTTCAGTTTGAGCTTTCCTGTTTTCCAGATTGCTTTGGTACAGAACTCTGAACTCCACACCAAGTGCCAGCAGCTCTCCTCACAGCTCAGCCACACAGAACAATCCTTTGCCAGCCCCAGAACCAAGGACACCACTGCAGCTTCAGCCCCAAAAGTGCAAACAGGGAATGGAGGAGAGCAGTCTGGGAGGATGGGACTGCATCACCTGAGCTGGACTTGGACAATGAACCCCAGTGTGGAAATGGAACAAAACTGATAAAAGTGTGAGAACTCCTGACCCATTGTCCATCTTGGGTGCAGCCACAGTCAGGCTCTTGTACTGCCCAAGGTGGATCCTTTGAGACTTTTAATAAATCCCTGCTTTATTCCTTTAGCTCTGCCCAAGGTGTATCCTTTGAGGCTTTTAATAAATCCCTGCTTTACTCCTTTAGCTCTGCCCAGGTCTGCTCCAGGCCCCAGCTCCATGAACCCTCCCTTCCCACACCCCCATCCCCCTGGCAGCAGCAGCTTTAAAGGAAGAACTGCTGGAATCAGGCTGGCCAAGCCCCCCAGCAGACCCCAGCCCCATTCCAGCCCAGCAGTGCCCCCCGAGCCCCCCAGGCGTGGGCAGAGCCCACCTTGGGGATCTGCTGCAGGATGCTGGGGTCCAGCACAGGGAGCAGCCTGCCCAGCTCGCTCAGGGTGAAGGCTGACCACGCTGCAGGAGGCCTGCAGACAAAAAAATGTGTTGCAAATAAGTGAAAGCTTGTAAAAGAACAGCCTTATAAATGTCATTTAAACCTTAGTGCTCTAACTAAGCTGTTACATTCCCATAGGAAAAGAATTATAAGAATAAAAATCAATTTACATAACGATCTATTCTTGTAAGAAAACAGTTCGCACCTATAAAAATAAGAAGTAATCTCATAAAAATCTATAAATAAAAAATATAAACTATCTAGAAAGAGAAAAGTTTAATAAACATATACACTAACCATTACCAACCAATCAACTGAGTTTCAATCATTTACTAACCTGTTAAATTCAAACACAGCACCTTCTAATATCCCATAAAATGAGCTATATGCAATAAAAATTCAGCTACTCTACACAAAAAACAGTGTCTCATCTGTCTCATTTCTATCTCTAACACAAGCTACAATGAAAATGAGCAGGTATCAGCTGTCAAGGAAGAACAAAAGGGAAAAAAACACCTTTAAATCCCCCAGGATTACATCCTCATAACATGTGACGTTAAGAAAACAAAGTTTAAACCCTAAAACACCTCAACCACTTCCTGTTGCACAAAATGTCATTGCAGCAGAGCAGAAGCTGTCAAGGACATAAATCAGGGCAGCTGGGTGGGAAAATGGCCTTGAACAAACATATTATTTTCTTAAGGCTCCTTCTGGAACCCAAAGAATTTCTGTTGCTTGCTATGGCCCAGTTCAGTGCCAAGATCCTGGGACAACTGACCCAGGAAGGAAAATATTTTGCTTCTCTCTGTGTTAGAATAGGGATTTATCAAACATCTCTCACTGGACAGGCAGAATGTCTGCTGGAAGTCTGTGCCTGACAAACAGCTTGGCCTCACCCGTGATCACCAGGCCAGCCAGAGAAGTTTGATTAATGAAAAATCAATTTTTCAGACCAGAGGAAAAGCTTTTATTGAGCAAGAGAGACAGAAGTGACCCCTTATTTTCCAGGAGAATTTCACCCAGGCCTTTCAGCTGAAATAATTTCAACCAAACAACATAAAAGGCCCAGTGCAAATCTCAAAAGCAAGAAGTTTTTTTGGTTTTTGACCAAGCTGCTTGGCTGGAGTTCACCCAGGCCTTAACAGGACCACGGGCTTGATTAAGGGAACAGTCCAGGAGAAAAATCCTTACCCAAAGGTGGTGTTGCCACTGCTGAGGACGTCCCTGATGGCCTCTTCTTGCTCAGGCAGGAAAGATCCACACTGGCTCAAATCCTTCAGCAGAGTGCCCCCAGAACTCCTGATGTACTCCCCACCCAGGTCACACACCAGCCAGCCCAGGAGCTCAGCGCTTCTCTTATTTATTTGTGTGCCAGGAATTCTCTGGAATAAAGGCAGAGCCATTAGCTGGGATGGAGCATCCCCTGGAGCCCAATTCCTGCAGGATCCCAATTCCTGCAAGATCCCAATTCCTGCAAGATCCCAGTTCCTGCAAGATCCCAGTTCCTGCAGGACCCCCATCCAGCCCTGCAGGACCCCAATCAATCCCTGCAGGATCCCAATCAAGCCCTGTAGGACCCCCCCAATTCCTGCAGGACCCCAATCAATCCCTGCAGGACCCCAAATCCCTGCAGGATCCCAATCAATCCCTGCAGGACCCCAATCAATCCCTGCAAGATCCCAATTCCTGCAGGACCCCAATCCAGCCCTGCAGGACCCCAAATCCCTGCAGAAACCCAGTTCCTTCAGGATCCCCATCCCTGCAGGATCCCCAGTCAATCCCTGAAAGACCCCAATTCCTGCAAGACCCCAATCAAGCCCTGCAGGACCCCCATCCCTGCAGCACCCCAGTTCCTTCAGGATCCCAATTCCTGCAGGACCCCAATCAAGCCCTGCAGGACCCCCATCCCTGCAGCACCCCAGTTCCTTCAGGATCCCAATTCCTGCAGGACCCCAATCAAGCCCTGCAGGACCCCCATCCCTGCAGCACCCCAGTTCCTTCAGGATCCCAATCCCTGTAAAACCCCAATCCCTACAGGACCCCAATCCCTACAGGACCCCCATCCCTACAGGACCCCCATCCCTGCAGGACCCCCATCCCTCTCCTCATACCAGGCACTCCAGGGCCTCCAGGAGCAGTCCCAATCAAGCCCTGTAGGACCCCAATCCCTGCAAGACCCCAATTCTTTCAGGGTCCCAATTCCTGCAAGATCCCAATCAAGCCCTGCAGAATCCCAATCCCTACAGGATCCCAATCCCTGCAGCACCCCAGCTCCTTCAGGATCCCAATCCCTGCAGGACCCCAATCCCTGCAAGACCCAAATTCCTGGAGGATCCCAGTTCCTTCAGGACTCCAATCCCTGCAGGATCCCCATCCAGCCCTGCAGGATCCCAATTCCTGCAGGTTCCCAATCAAGTCCTGCAGGACCCCAATTCCTGGAGGATCCCACTTCCTTCAGGATCCCAGTTCCTGCAGGACCCCAATCAAGCCCTATAGGACCCCAATCCCTGCAAGACCCCCATCCCTCTCCTCATACCAGGCACTCCAGGGCCTCCAGGAGCAGCTGCTGCCTCTGGGGGCTCTCTCTGGGCAGAACATCCCCGTTTGCCTTCCCAACGTTGATGAAGAACTGGCTGCAGTTCCCTGCATAGTCTGAGGGGCTGGAAAGACAAGCTCCATGAATTTTGGGGAATGAGATCAAGCTCGATGCACGCCATGTCTGATAAAACACCTTCCACACCTGCACACTGAACTCCAGGAGTTGCTCTTCCCCGGTTTTCTTCTATGCCATTAAATCCTTTTAAAATTCCTTAAGTTTAAAAAACGGTTCTTTAAAAATAAATTTTCACCTGAAGGAATTTGTTGTGTGAGACACAGCTTAAAATTGTTCAAGGTTTGGGTGCAGAACCACAGCAGGAAGGTTCTGGAACAGGGGAATTCACTCTATTCCCTGTTTTCTTTGGTGTTGTAAGGGAAAAGCACATTCAGAGGCCTGGGAATGCTAAACTTGGCCTTGGCCACTGCCTGGGAGGGGGCAGCCTCAGCTTCTCTGGGAAACCTGGGCCTCCCCACCCTGACAAGGAAGGATTTATTCCAATATCTCATACAAATCCACCCTCCTCCAGCTTCCTGCAATCCCATTTTTTATAACCCAGGAAGAGGCTTGAACAACTCTGAAATAAAAATCAAATTAGTCAGCCCGGTTATAAACTAATCTTTATTTTTCCTGTGTTGCTCTAAGGCAAGATGATGAAAACCACAGCACAGTTACCTTAAAAACAGCAGCAGGTCTTGGGGATAACTGTCCCAGTCCTGGGGAATCCCATGCAGAGTCAGCATCTTCAGCAGGCAGCTCAGCTGGAAGGACACCAGAGATTGCAGCAAGGAGAGAAACCACCACGAAACACAAGGAAAAGACAAAATAATGTAAAGATTTTATGCTGCTCTGAAGAAAGAAAATTAAAAAAAAAAAGAGAAAAAAAGAAAAAAATATGGAAATCAAAGGGTTTGGATTTCTCTCTTCAGGGAAACTCGGCTGTGGGAGGGACACCCAGGACTTTTGTTCACAGGAAGGGACCACAGGGACCACCCTGACACCCCAACAACCCCCCCTGTCCCTGGGTCACCCTCTGGGGGCAGAACCTGTCCCCAAAACCCATCCTACCCCCCTGGCACATCCCTGCTCCAGCCCCTGAGCTCCAGGGGCTGTTCTGGCTGAACAATTCCCTTCAGTTCACGCAGGACACCACCAAACCCTCGGGAATGTGGGCATTACCTGGTCCTGGCCCAGCCTGACCTTCTTCTTCCTCATGACCCTGGCCAGCTCCTGGAACCTCTCTGCCCCCACAGCGCTGGCAGCTGCACAGGTGAAGCCCTGGAGCACAGACTGGGAGAGCCTGGCAGTTCCCAGCAGGAAAACCAGAAGGGAAAAGCCTTCAGGAAGGTGCATTCAGAGCAAAACTCCGCTGACTCCATTGTCTGTTCCAGATATAAATCTCTGTTTTCATCATTTTCATCTCAAATAAGTCAAAAGACACAGCAGCCCCTTCTAAATGAATCCCTGGAATTGCCCTCTGGAAGGTTTGGAAATGCATTCCCTGCTTGGAAATGCCTTCCCGAGGCAATCTGGAGCAAGATTCCAGGTGCAGCCTGAGCCAGCAGCATCATTTCAGAAAGAAAATGTGGCTCCTGGGTGCATGTGACAGCTGAGCCCTGGTAAATCTCCGTGTTCCACATCTGTGTTTGGGTTCCCATCCCATTTCCCATCTGCTCCCATGGATTCCAGGGCGTGGATGTGGATGCTCCATGGGAAAGGTGGGAATTGCCAGGAAAACAAACAGAAAATGGAGGGAGAGGAGGAAAATCTTTACCTGTTGAAGTCAGGCTCTGCCTTCACCACGTCACTGAAAAACATGGCAGCCTGGGGAGCAAAGGCAGAGCTCAGAGGTTTTCCAGGGAAAACAGCCCCGATTCCAGGGGGATTTGTGGAATTCACGGCCCCACAGAGGGCAGGGCTGCCCGGGAGGGGAAGGAGGAGCCCTTTACCTGCTCTCTGGTCCATGGTTTGTCGTTGAGATCCTGAACGTTTGGCTTCTCTTCCCCAAAAACCAGCAGGGATTTTGGGATGGAGCTGGCCAGAGCACTGGGAATGAGTCTAACCAGCTCAGAGGGGTGGCCAACCCTGGAGGAAACCTTGGAAAAACCCAACAGAAAAAACCCAATCTCACTTCAGTGAGATTTGCTTTCGTCCAAACCATGGCAGGATCAGAACCAGGGAATTGTTCAGGCTGGAAAAGACCTCCAGGATCAAGTCCAACCTTGAATTATTCTGCTCCATTTATATTCTTTCCCTGGGAACATCCACTGGGAAGCAGCTTTTGGGAGCACCCCACAAAACAAATCCCTCCTGGCCTTGTCCCCAAGAGGCTGGGCAGGCCAAGGACAGTGACACGGAGGCAGTGGCCTGTCCTGCTGCCACCCTGCCAGGCTGTGCCCATCCCAGCTGTGCCACACCTGGCCCAGGTGAGCTGAGCCCCACTCCTGCTCCTGGCTGAGGCCTGAGCAGACAAACCCAGGTCACCTTTTCCACCAGGGTCCTCTTCAGAGCCGAGGGCAGCGTGTCCACGTGCTGGGCAAAGCCTGGCAGCTGGATGGCCTCCAGGACGACCTCTGGGGACAAACTCCTGAGCGTGCTGCTGTTGAGGCCAGCCACCAAAGTGCCCAGCTCTGCCAGGCTCTGTCCATCCCGGAGCTGCAAGGGAATCCCAGGAAAAATCAGCTTGGAAAGGACCTTTGAGATCCTTGAGGCCCAGCTGTGCCCAGCCCAGAGCTCTGAGTGCTGATGCCTTAAATTTGAACTTTTATATTTACCAGATTCTGGACTGCATTGGTTTCTAACTCTGAACTCCATATAAAGTGTCAGCAGGTTCTCCTCACAGCTCAGCCACACAAAAAAATCCTTTTTTGTCAGATTAAGCCCTTTTTTGACTCAGGCATGTGGTAACTGAGAGCTGTTTTAAAAACTTTTATTTCATTTTCAAACTCATGTGAAGGGTGAGACAATAGAGATGTTATAATTCACACCATCACAATCACAAGTTAACTATTTCCTAATTACAATTCATTATAAGCATTTCTTGGCCTATCAGTTTTAGCCACACCATGCTGGAAATGCCTTAAAGTTAATAATCTAAAATGACCCCTCGTGGGTCCTACTGTTTCCTAACACCCAACCTAAATTTCCCTTGGTGCATCTTGAGGCTGTGTCCTCTGGTTCTGTCAGAATCCTTTGAAGTCCTTTCAATAAACCCCTGCTTTATCCCTTTCACTCTGTCCACCCTCTGTTCCAGGGATCAGAGCCACCTCCAGACATCCCTTGGGATGAGGATTCCCAGCCTCCCTGGGCACCCCCAGGGCCTGAAACCCTTCCCAGAGGAGGCTCATGGACATGAGGAGCTCTGTACCTGGTAGCCAGAGAGGAGCAGTTTGTTGAGCACAGCCCTGGCCTGCTCAGCCCTCCAGCCCTGGACTGTCCCCAGGGCAGGCAGAGCTGCCTCCAGCTGCTCCCCAGGGATGCTCTCCTGGATCCTGGACACCGAGAGCCCCAGGGCAGCCTGGCCCAGGGCTCGCAGCACGGCTGGGGACAAATCCTCCAAACTCCTCAGCAGGGAGGCTGCCACCTGTGCCACGAGACAGAGCAGGGTCAGAGCAGCAGCACTGGATCCCACAGCCCTCAGTCCCTGGTTTCTGCTCAGGATTGCCCGTGGGTGTGTGGAAGAGGTTTTACACAACTTCTGGGAGCCAGAGAGCAGTTTGAGAAGAGGATCCATGTTTATCCCTGAATTTCCTACCAAGGTTGTTGACAGAGAAACCAAGAAATAAAGAAGAAGAAATAAGAGAAACCAGGGAATAAAGAAGAAGAAATAAGAGAAACCAGGGAACAAAGAAAGAAGGAGAAATAAGAGAAACCAGGGAACAAAGAAAGAAGGAGAAATAAGAGAAACCAACAAAGAAGGAGAAATGAGAAACCAAGAAAGAATGAGAAATAAGAGAAACCAACAAAGAAGAAATAAGAGAAACCAACAAAGAAAGAAGGAGAAATAAGAGAAAGCAAGCAAGAAAGAAGGAGAAATAAGAGAAACTAATAAAGAAAGAAGGAGAAATAAGAGAAACCGACAAAGAAAGAAGGAGAAATAAGAGAAAGCAAGAAAGAAAGGAGGAGAAATAAGAGAAACCAAGAAAGAAAGGAGGAGAAATAAGAGACACCTGCAATTCTCTATTCCAATGAGCACTTTGTTTGTCTCTCCTGAGCAACGAGTGAAGTGTAAACTTGGGGGTTTTGCAAGAATGTACAAACAGCATGCATGCTGGAGCAAGGACAGTTTGAAGCCTCTGTTAATGGAGTGTGCTGCTGTGCATTGTCTCCCTGTCCTTGTGGATGGACCATTCCCACCACGGAGCCCCTGAGGTGATGAAAGCCCAGCCAGACACCACAACAAGGACAGGGTGACCCAGAGGAGGGTGACAGGAGGGGACACAGAGCTGGGCCCCATTCCCATGCTGAGAGCATCCCCAGGCGCTCACCTGCAGTTCCCGAGGTGCCAGGGAGGCTCGGGGCACCCCCCTGCTCCAGGGGCAGCTCCTCCCGAGCCTGCGGGCCACCCCCAAAGCCTCCTCCCTGCTCAGGTGTGCCACTGCCCCGGGGCTCAGGTGACAGAGAAACCTGTCCGGGAGGCTGTGGGGAAAGGAGAGGCTGGCTGAGACCTTCCCTCTGTGCCAGGGGATTTCCTTCTCCAGGCAGCTCCCCCAGCTCAGGGAGCTGGGAAAGCCTGGAAGCACTGCAGGGAAATCGTGTCCCAGGAAAAGAACGGGGGAGCTGGCCCTCCTCGGGAGCAAGGGCAGTGGGGTCATGTGAAAATGGAATCTTTAAAGAGAAAACGAATAGAACCCTTAAAGAGAAAACGAATAGAACCCTTAAAGAGAAAACGAATAGAGCCCTTAAAGAGAAAACTAATAGAAGCCTTAAAGAGAAAATTAATAGAAGCCTTAAAGAAAAAAAATAATAGAACCCTTAAAGGGAAAATTAATAGAACCTTTAAAATTACTATAACCTTTAGAGGAAAAATGAATAGAACCCTTAAAGAAAAAATGAATAGAACCCTTAAAGAAAAAAATTAATACAACCTTTAAAAAAGAAAATGAGTAGAACCTTTAAAGGGAAAATGAATGGAACCTTTAAAGGGAAAAATTATAGAAGCCTTAAAGGGAAAAATTATAGAACCCTTAAAGGGAAAAATTAATAGAACCTCTAAAGAGGAAATGAATCAACAGTGCCTCGCTGAGCCATGCCAGGAAATCAGATGCCCTCGGACCCGTACCTGGAGAGAGGAAAGGCAGGAGCAGAGGTCAGCAGCTGGGTGTAGTACAGGGCAGTCTCCCTGAGCAAGGTGAGGTTCCCAACCATCTCCATGTTCACCGGGTCCCTGGCGAATCTTTGAAGCTGAAGGTGCAAAAAAATAAAAAGGGAAAATGGTTCAGATGGATCCTTCAATCCTGGCAGTGACACGGGACAGCTTGAGCCAACCTCAGGGCTCTTCACCTGGGTTTAAAGTTGTGCTGAGGTTTATTTTGTTTTTATTCAGATCCGTACCTGGAGAGAGGAAAGGCAGGAGCAGAGGTCAGCAGCTGGGTGTAGTACAGGGCAGTCTCCCTGAGCAAGGTGAGGTTCCCAACCATCTCCATGTTCACCGGGTCCCTGGCGAATCTTTGAAGCTGAAGGTGCAAAAAAATAAAAAGGGAAAATGGTTCAGATGGATCCTTCAATCCTGGCAGTGACACGGGACAGCTTGAGCCAACCTCAGGGCTCTTCACCTGGGTTTAAAGTTGTGCTGAGGTTTATTTTGTTTTTATTTTCAAGTAAACACTGGGACCTGGTTGCTCCTCTCACTGACTCCAGTTTGCTCCCTGCAGAATTCCCTTTGTGAAACCAACTTTGTGCAAATCCCTCTGATCACACGAAGGGGAGAAATAACTGCAGTGACTTCCACCTCAGGTTAACCAGAGAAATATTCCTGCTGGCAGGAATTCCAGGTGGGACAGGGATTGGAGAACGTGGGTGGGGCTGGAATGGGATGGGTGACCCTGAAATCCTTCCAACCCCGCCATCCTGGGGCTCTGAATTTGCTCAGGGCAGGACTGTGACCCCCCCAGGGTCCCCACTCACTGTGGCCTCATCCCCAAAAAGCTGCAGGTCCTCCACGGTGGCGTGCTCCAGGAAGGATCCCAGGAAATTCCGAAACCAGGCAGTGGAATTGAGGCTGGGAATGGCCTGGCTGTGGCAGCTCTGGCTGGGTCCTGCAGGCAGGAATGCAGGAACGGAGACCCATGGAGATACAGAAACACAGAAGTGCAGGAACACAGAACCCACAGAAATGCAGGAATAGAAAACCAATGGAGCCACAGGAACACAGAAACGCAGGAACAGAGAACCCATGGAGCTGCAGGAAGAGAGAACCCATGGAGGCACGGGAACACAGAAATGCAGGAACACAGACCCATGGAGGCACAGTCAGAAATTCAGGAACACAAACCCATGGAGGCACAGGAACACAGAAATGCAGGAACACAGACCCATGGAGCCACAGGAACGCAGAAATGCAGGAACAGAAAACCCATGGAGCTGCAGGGACACAGAAATGCAGGAACACAAACCCATGGAGGCACAGACAGAAATACAGGAACACAGAACCCATGGAACTACAGACAGAAATCCAGGAACAGAGAACCCACAGAGATACAGAAACACAGAAACGCAGGAACACAGATACCATGGAGCTACAGGGACACAGAAATACAGGAAGAGAGAACCCATGGAGCTGCAGGGACACAGAAATACAGGAACAGAAAACCCATGGAGATACAGACAGGAATGCAGGAACAGAGAACCCATGGAGATACAGACAGGAATGCAGGAACAGAGAACCCATGGAGATACAGACAGGAATGCAGGAACAGAAAACCCATGGAGCTGCAGGGACACAGAAATGCAGGAACAGAAAACCCATGGAGCCAAAGACATAAATACAGGAACACAAACCCATGGCATGGAGCCACAGGAACACAGAAATGCAGGAACAGAGAACCCATGGAGATACAGACAGGAATGCAGGAACAGAGAACCCATGGAGCTACAGACAGACAGGAATGCAGGAACACAAACCCATGGAGACACAGACAGGCAGAAATGCAGGAACACAGACCCATGGAGGCACAGGAACACAGACATGCAGGAACAGAGAACCCATGGAGCTACAGACAGGAATGCAGGAACAGAGAACTATGGAGGCACAGGAACACAGACATGCAGGAACAGAGAACCCATGGAGCTACAGACAGGAATGCAGGAACACAAACCCATGGAGGCACAGAAACACAGACATGCAGGAACACAAACCCATGGAGGCACAGCCTGGCCTGGCTCAGGAGCACTGGATCTGGGGTTTCTGAGGGTGGAACAGGCTGCAGCCCAGCAGGGAGCTCCCAGCTCACACCCAGACCCAGAGCTCCCACCATGAATTCCCATGGGACAGGACAGAAAAACCCCAGCCCTGCAAATATTCCCTGCCCAGCCTCTGTCCTGCTCCCTCCACGTGCACCAGGAGCTTTCTGCAGGACATTGATGGCAGCTCCTGCCTGGGTCCCTTCCTGAGCACAACCAACCCTGCACAGGCAGAAAATGCAGGGAATTTATAAAAATGTATAAAAATCCTGGGTTAATTCCCTTCAGGCAGGGAAATCATCCCCAAATCCATGAATTACTGACATTCCCAGCCTGTTTCCATTGGAGATTCACAGAAACCCTGGGAAAAATGAGTATTTTATGATTGGTTTTTCACAGATATTAAAATTAATATAGTGTGTGTTATGTTAGAAAGTTATGCTGTATTAATTTTCTTAAGCAGTGTGTTAAATAGAGTTTTAGGTTATAACATAATGTTAAAATAGAAACTATACCACATAAGATATTTTTTTAAGAAAGGAATGAGGCACTCACACCAGACAGCAGCCACAGGACACCTAAACCGTTCAGAGAAAGAGAATTTATTGCTCTTTTATCAGGAGAAACGAACTTCTTCCCACCTTGCTCAGCCGTGAAGGCTGATAGGATTCAGAGGAAGAAGAGGATGATGACCAGAATCCTGTGTTTGAATGGAATTTTTGCATCATGGATGAGGTGTATGATTATGTAACAGGCTATTGCTTTTAAGGGTTAATCCTCTGTTAACTGGGTCCTTTTTTGGGCTTATTTTGCCCAGAAAGAGGTACCCAGACTATCCATAACTCTTTGTTTTTATTGTCTTTTATTACCCTAATCCTAATTGTCCAAATTATTATTACTGTAATTATTATAATTGTAAAAATATATAAAATATATATTTATATAATATATATTATATATAAAAATATATAAAATATATAAATATATGAAATATATATTTAATATAAATATAAAATAGTAATTATATTTTTATAACCATTTTATTACTATTCAGCTTTTAAAATCTTACAATCAAGGGATTGTTTTTCACCCCCTGTGGCAGGTCCTTTACCGTGCTGGGCGAGGAAATGCTTGATCCCAGAGTAGAGATTCCTCTGCTCCTCCACAGACAGCTGGGAATAGATTCCATCCAGGGCAGCCACTCTGCCAAAGGAAGGGAAACACCTCAAACATCGCTGGGGCCAGGCCTGGCTCTCACAAAAACATGGATAATCTCAATCCCATCCTTTTCTGTTGGATTATGCCCTTTTCTGACCCAGAAATGGGGTAACTGAGAGGTGTTTTAAAAACTTTTGTTCCATTTTCAGTCTCATGAGAAGGGTGAGACCACACAGAAGTTATAACTCACACCATCACAACCAGAAGCCATTGTATTGTCATTTCCTAATTCCAACAGACCATAAGCATTTCTTGGCCTGTCTATAATATTTCTAAATCAACATTTCTTATCTTAAAATTGATATATATCAATACAGACAATAAAAAACTTTAATGAAACTTTAAAGATTTTATACAAATCTATTTCCCACCCTTCTCCAAAGTGATTTTTCCCCCCCAGGGCGTGGCTCTGGTGGCACAGAGGGGACATTCCACACTTACAGCAGCTGGAATTCCTCACAGGACACGTTCTTGGCAAGGAGGCAGCCAAAGACCTCGGGATTCACCAGGAATGGCCCAAGGCCCCCCTGGATCCACTGGAGCAGCACTGGGGGCGTCTCAATACCGGGCACTTGGAGCATCCTCTCCCACAGACCATTGAGGAAAACCAGGCTCCACTCCAGGGAAAGGGGCACCTGGGAAAACTGGGGGTGAGGGAGGAGAAAAAGCCCTGAATTCCAGGGAATTCTAACAAGAAATCCAAAGAAATCCAAGCAAATGGAAAAGGGCGCCTGGGAAAACTGGGGGTGAGGGAGGAGAAAAAGCCCTGAATTCCAGGGAATTCTAACCAGAAATCCAAGCAAATCTGAACACTGAATTAAATCTGTTGTTTTGAACGGGGCTCTTTCCAAAATAAGGTTAAAAAAATAAAGAGGGGATTAGAAATGAAATCTTTTCCTGAGCAAAACCTCCCAGGATTGGAGGGAATTCCGTCTGAGGGAAGGCTCACCTGCTGGCTGAACACGGTCAGGGAGGCCAGAAGCTTCCTGGCGTCATATTTGGAAAAGAACAGGATGGAATATTCTGGATCCACAGCTGTGCTGGGCTTAGAGGCCAGGCAGGAGTAGAAGGATGTGAGGAAATCATCCTGCAGGTCCTGGAGCCAAGCTCCCTGGGAAAGAGAGGGAAATGCAAATAAAGATCACATTTAGGGGGAAATCACCCTCAGGGGGCTCGTCCACACATGGGCATTTGGGAAGGGATTCCTCCCTTGGGGGGGTAAAACACTGGCACAGGTTTTAAAAGCTTTATCCAAAAAAACCCACCCCCAAAATTGCCAAAATTTTGCCCAAATTTCCAAAAAAATTGCTCTAACTAGAAACTTCCATGGGGAACTCTCTAATTCCCAAACATTTTTTCAGGGAAATGGATTACAAAATTAGAAGACAAAAACAAAACCAAGAAAAAAACAAACACCAAAAAATCCCAAAACCCACTGATAAATGTTTGCAGGAGTGCCATCTTTCCGTCAGAAATATTTACCAAAAATCCTGATAAATGTTTGCAGGAGTGCCATCTTTCCGTCAGAAATATTTACCAAAACCCACAAATTGCTGTCAATTTAATTGCAATTACTGCAACAACTTAAGAGATAATGACAAAACCAGGGAAGAAAGTAAACCTGGAATAGTCAGGTGGCATTTTCCACACTGCAACCACTTCTAATTGTAATTTTACCCCTTTTAATTGTTTTTTCTACCACTCCTAGTTGTGCTTTTATGCCTTTTAAATGTGCTTTTACCCCTTTTGTGATTTTATCCCTTTCAATTGTGTTTTACCCCTTCTAATTATTCTCTTGTGCCT